ACCGGTATCGCGGAGGTCACGGGTTCGAATCCCGTTGAAGCCCTGATTTTTTTCAGGCTTCTTCTTTCCAATTGCTTAAATTGGAAAATTAACTGCGATGATCATTCTTCACTTTCACTTGTAACCTAGTATAGCTATATGACTTAGGGCATAATTGGAGCTAGAAAATTGCTCACCTCTGGGAGTTAATTTAACCATGAAACGTCTTTTTCGCGGGCAACACCCAGGTATGGCTGTCTGTGCGATGGCCTCACTACTTTAATGCCTCCTCTGAAAATGTAAAAATATTAATCTTACAGTTCTCCAGGGATCTCTTAAGCAAATATTTGTTCACAACATTATTTCCTCAAAAACATCTAAAAAAAAAGGGGGGGGGGCGGAGAAACTAGAACGGAAAAAAATTATGAGACGTTTTGTTTATTGAGTAACGCATCTCATCTGGTGAATTAAAAGAAAGGAATTCAAGACCATATCTTTTTTGAAAATTGCTATATTAAAGCTCAATATATTTCAGGTGTTTTTTGCGAGCAATACGAACACAGTGATCGACGTGATACCTCCAGCCAACCAGACAAACAAGCAAATGCCCCTGGTGAACAGAAATTAAATATATCAGCAGAGAGAACTGAGATTAGTCATGTTTATCTTTAGCTTCAAAGCAAACTTACTAACTACAGTAGAATCCCGATAACTCGAACTCGGATAACTGGAACTCCCCCGCTAACTCGAACCAAGTCCCATTTTCCTTGGATGTGACCCCACTTTTCAGTCATTTTATCTCGGTTAACTCGAATTCCCCGCTAACTTGAACTAAATTTCGTTTCCCTCGATCAAAATCTACCCCGATAACCGAATTCTGGTTCATGTAACTCACCACGGATGTCATCCCATTAGCTTTTGTTGTCGTGTATTCGGTAAAAACACTCAAAACTAACACCACAGCAATTTGATTTTAATTAGTGCAATTGCAACCGACCCTTGACATATTTGACAGTCATTGCCCGAACTTGTGATTCATACCGGATGAAACAGTGCTACAGAGCAGAACGTTATGAAAAGTACACATGCATTTCTGACGAGATAAGTTGTATTTGCACTGTACTGTATACTGAAGTGCTGAAAAATCAGTGAACTATCAATTATTAACATGGCAAGTTGGATATTCAATCGACCCCGATAACTCGAACCCCCGCTAACTCGAACTGTTCTTCGTTTCCCTTCAGAGTTCGAGTTACCGGGGTTCTACTATACTTTCTAAAACCAAAAGTGAGGTGTTTACGGGAAAATCGTAAATCGAGACCTTACCTTACTGAACTCGCTATCGCGAGATCAATACGGCAAGGCCGAGGTTTGAAATTTTCCCGTGAAGAACGGACGTTCGAGGTTAATAAGTTGTTCATCTTATGGACCTTCTAGCTTTTTGCTTTGCTTTTGCAGGCCAACCAGAGTGCCCGTCATATCGGCTACAGACACAAGCCATATAATAATGTGCCTTATAGAACACAAAGCAGCTCCGTATTTGGGACACGCATAAAAAATTAATGGAAACGACATATCCTAAGTATTTTTTAAACTTTCAAATGTAACCATCAAGTTTCCAAGACAACCATGGAATACCTTGTCTATATTGCGTGAGTTTTGCGCAGCATTTAAAGCAGTTCCTAAAAGTTTGATACTTCAACATCAAGGTTCTTCCAAGTAATTTTTAGTGGATAGTTGAAGCGTGATATCAAGATAAAAGCTTAGAAACATTACATAATTTTAATTTGTACACGACATTTCATGACGCTTAAATAAGACGCAGCAGCTTTATAAACAATTTTATTTTTTTAACAATTTGCGCGCTCATAAGTTAAAAAAATGGAGAATTATCCACCAAATAATTTCTGTGCTGGCATTAATACTTTAATTCATCGTTTTCTCTAAGCAGGGAAAAGAAACATAGTTAGGGTTACTATACTACTAAGTTTTTCAGCCGTTGACCTGTAACGAAAATGTAAGTAGAAGGCAAATAAATAAATAATGTACCGGTATTCATATTTCAATTTATCTTTGTTTTTTCTGAGCAGTGAAAAACTAATATAGCTTAAGATATGGTTATTGTCAAATTTTGGCCACCGGCCGCGAATCAATAACTTACCTTGGGTCGAAAATGACAGTTGAAGGTAAATAAATAATGTGCCGGTATTAATACTTTAATTTATTGGTCCTTTTTTCTCTGCATAGTTAGGGCTTGTTAGTAACTTTCCCTGGGGCGAAAATGTAAGTTGAAAGTAAACAAATAATGTGCTGGTGTTAATATTTTAATTTGTTGTGGTTTTTTATTATTATTATATTTTTTTTTTTTTCTGAGCAGGGAAAAAGAAAAGACATAATTAGCGTTATTATCAAGTTTTGGCCACCGCGAACCAATAACTTGCTCTGGAGTGAAAATCCAACTGGAAGGTTTGGGTATGCCTCTAAAGGTGCGCATGCCGCTAACATGAAGTGATACACTCGGATGAAAGGTAAACGTTCTAAACCTCATAACTAAAAATAAAGCGAACCGATAAATACTGGACAGACCAGAGGGTTGTTCTTATAATACTACCAAAACAACAAGATGTAAGCACGGGGAATGTGTACCACGACAGCAACATGTGGCAGAAATATTTTGAAAGTGTCAAATTTTCAAACCCCGCAGTGATGTGTCAAACTTTCGGCCACCACTGAAATCATTATCACCGCTGCCGTGAAGGCAGGGAGATTTAATCATGGCTGTATATGACCTGCCAAAGGAACGTAGCGTTAGAAGAACACCTCCCAGGGTACGCCTTCTACCAATTTAAAAATGGCTCGCCTGCTGTTGAAAACAACGAAAAGATGAACGTTTTAAAACTCATTAAACGGGGAGGCGAATTGCTAATAAAACTGTAAACTCAACAGGGGAGCATTTTTGTGATATTACTAGAAAACCAGGTCGTAGCTATGTGGGAAATATCACGATAAATCTACAACAGCAACATTTGACAGGGTCAAAACAGTTTTAATGTTCGTTAAACTGAAGTAAGTCGTTAAACGTGAAACTGAGCGATGGATCATTTCTACTTTGTTATTACGAAATAGAAAACATGTGCCATGTTTCTATCGAGTTATAGAAACACGAGTGGAAGTTATGTTTGGGAGAACGAGAAATACTGTGGGAACACGAGCCGACAGGCGAGTGTTTCTATAACTCGATAGAAACAAGGAGAACATGTTTTTTATTCCTTTTAGAAAATTCAGTGACAAAGAAAAGGAAACAACTTGTTCACTATGATCATCAAAATGTAAATTCTCTTTGCTCCCGCCATCATTACGTCAACAGCTCCTGCTAGGTATAGAAACACGATTTTAAACCAATCAGCGCGCGTATTTTCGTTGGGCTATTTTCTAATCATAAGCATTTGAAACTCGTCATACTGGGACAAAATTGAATGTCAAAAATACCTTCCAAACTCTGCAAAATTAGTGAACTAGTAATCTTTCGATCAACAGTCGCTGAAAACGAAATATCTTCCTGGGTTACAAATTCCGTCGAAAAAAAAGAAAACAGAAAATATGTTTATCGTTACGTTCAAATAATATTTGGAGTAGTTTTCGCCCCTTGCAAAGCTTTCTAAACATTTTTTTTTTAATTTCACTAATTAAGCACCTCCTCTGAGAAAAAAATTCAAAACGCACAGGAACATGATCAGCCTAAGAAATGAATAACTAGGGCTTCAATAACATATCCAACTGTGCTTTTACTAATTGGATAATCACATATGATGTAATAAATACTTTCCTGAAAGGGGACAATGTTTTATTCTGAAATTGACGTTCTATCGTTCACTTCAGAAAGTGCCAAGTACGACGTGGTTGGAAGGTCAAGATTTTTCTCTCTCACAGTTTCTCTACACTAACGCTCATTCTTTCAATAGGTAGAAATTAATTTGCATCTGACTGTTTTAAATTCGCTCTGCAGAAAATTACACGTTTTCATGCAATTCAATTATTGATCGAGTCAAATTGCTACATTGCATTTGAAGTGGATTCTTCTCACTTTGAACAATTTTTTCTTTTTTCGATTTACAGGGATAGAGCAAAAATGAAGATTGCCTGGTTCTCTACCTGTTTGCTTGTACTCATCCTTGCTTCAGGAATGGAAGCCAAGAAAAAAAAGAACAGGCGGGTAAATAGTATGCAATAATCAAAGTGATATTTATATTGTCCTAGGGCAGTTACAAAAAGAGAGACAAAGAAAAATCACTTTCATTTAAAAGCATCTATCTTAACTTAGCTCCAAAGTTGCTCCAGTTTCGATGCTTCGTGAAAAACGTCATAGGCTGAATGTTTCAAGTGCCAAGGTCGAAACTTGACATAAGCATTAGCCCTTTGGTAATTTTGGTGTTTTGTAAACTTTTTTGGTGCAATTTGTTCACAATTTCAAGGAAAGTGTACTTTGAAAATGTATGATTGGAATAGCTCCTTTCAGAAGCCCCAAAAGCGAGCACATGGAGTGATGACGATTGCGATTTTGTGATAGAATATGAACAGAACAGAAAATGTGTTAACAAGTGATTCTTTTATAATTAAACGCGACTAACTGCAAATAAAATGACAAGAAATGGAAAGAAATTTCAATTAGGCACAAATTGCTTCGTCAGGTTTCACCTGACTAGCCTTGTGTTATATATCTAAAACTGCCTTAATTTCAGCTTGCCAAAATAGAAGCTCAGTTGGCCAAAGCTGGCAAGCCCGAAGGTTTGGCCATGCTCGACCAAGATGGACATCTGCCTCAAGATGCCCTCCCGGCGGGGTATAATAAATACTCGGCATACGACTTGGGTTGGCAGTCTCTTCACATGGCGGCCGCTGGTGCTTGCAGAGGGAGCACCCCTACAGGGGGAGGAGGTTGCTGTGGAAACGTGGTTGTGACGAGAAATGCCGCTGATAAGAAATCCTGCACAGAGCTTTGTGCCCAGACCGGCAACAGCAACTGCGATGCGGGTGTTTCTATTTACGGAAGACAGGGAAAAGCCACTCAAAATGGTGAGGTGGTGGGTTCGTTTTACAACTACCCATGTAATTATGTTGAACACGGAGGAAGTGAAGCATCCAGCCCTGACGAAGGAATCATCGACTACTCCGGGTATTACAGCTTCTGTTGCTGTCGAAAGGGATAATCAAGATGATTTATGTCAGCTTCTGTTGCTCCCGAAAGTATTTTAAACATAATGTCTTTAGTACGTTAGCATTGATAAAGGTTTGATCATGGTAGGGTAAAGGGGAATTATGAATATAAACAGGAACCTAGTTTCTGGTATGTATCGGAAGCAACATCAATAAAAGCTTTGAAGGGTTGGATTTTGTTCGTTGTACTTACTTGTGATACTCACAAAACAGGATCTTGGTACCTCTTGAGGGTCCTTTTCAAAATTGGGTTAGGGGGTTAGGGTTACCCCTAACCCTAACCACCTCCGCCCTTTTTATATTAGAGTTCCCTTCCCGGAGTGCGTCTACAGTGTCGTAAGTGGCCATCCCCAGGGGCGAGGCTGAAGGGTAACTTAACGTAAATTTTTAAGAGTGACCCCGAGAAATAAAATTAGGTAAGTGTCGAAACTTAATAGTTGTGTCAGCTCGGCCTCCAAATTAAAGGTCTGCAACCTCCGTTATACATTGAACGATAAGTGTAGCAATCCCAATGCACCAGCAATGGTTGTCTCAAGAGAGTCAGCTTGACCAAGAATGTCACTGGATTTATAATCTGAAGGACCATTGTTCAAAGCCTCCATCCAGCCATTTCACTTGTTCTCGGTAGCCCTGGGCTTATCCCCTCTGCCCAACGTTGTAACTAGGCAAATGGTTCTGACCTCCCACCAGTTAGGAATTTTACCAAGTAATGTTTCGCAAGTCAGTGAAGACATGACGCCATTAGTGTTAAGCAACGCAGAAAAAACTGCCTTCTTTTAGTAACCAAATAAGGCAAGGTGTCGATCACAAAATCATCAAAGCATGACATATCGTAACAAGTGAGTACTGTGTGCTTTGTCTGCGTGGCGAATTTTGTATTCATATCATTGCCTGCGACGGAGGCTTGCCAGCGTAGTAACTTAGAACTGATAGTGCCTGTGAGGCCTGCCTGCTTGGCAAATTCTTTGTACTGATAATGCCTAACAGTCTCTTCTGAGTAATGAGATGCTTTTCGCGCGTAAGGCTCGCTGGTATGGCGGATCTGTACCTATGCCTGCTATTGGAAGTTTTCACTGTTCCTGGGTTTTCTCGGGTTATATTAGAACTAGAGTAGCTCCGGAAGGGTGGGAAGATGAGAGACCTTGAGAACGAGGTTGGCTCTTGATCAGGGTGAGTGATTCCTGTTGGTATACCGCATATTCTCGGTAGCCACCAGACTGTAAGCGAAATCCCTATTCGAATCTTTAATTGCACGTATATGGTGGGACGTAAAAGATCATGTCATCCAATGGATGATTTTCGGGAATAGCAAAACCCCTAAGAGGAATTTCGGAATCATGCTGAGGGAATGAAGCCGAGACTAGCGGAAAATTTTTGAAAATTACAATAATATTTTACCGACTGTGCGAAGAAAAATGTAAAAAAACGTCTATGAAATTAATTTATTCTCAAAAATTCAACTTTTTTCAGTCTCAAAATTTTTGTTTGCCCAGATTGCTGTCAGGAAAAACAACATTACAACACCACTTATTAAACTAAACACTTAACCTTGCTTTCCTACGCGAAATTTCCAGTTCGTTTCAACGCACAGCAGCGAGGAAAGTATAGCTCACGGCAGTCGAGGATTGGGGCTGGACGCGATGGAGTGAGAAAGTGTTTTGTTGGGCTCCTTCGACAAGAGATGTGTATCTTCAATGCTCCAACTTTGTGAGCCATGCTATTGTCAGAAAAACAGCAGCAAGGAATCGCTGAACTCTATTGATACTAAGGTTCGTGAATTGGAAAAAACAAGACATGAGAATCAGAAAGACTTATTCAGAAGAGCAACCAAGATCTCTTTACAAAACTTATGAATCTAGAGCGATACTCCCGTGATTACAACATACAAATTATCGGTGTGGAAGAAAGAAAGTCGCAGATAGCAGTGCCATTCTGCTAGATTATCTCGCACTGCTTGGTTTTCAAAATGTCTCCGCTGAAGTCGAAAATGCCCATCGGACAGGGAAGAGAATTTAAGCTGAAAAACCGCAGTATTTATCGACAGATAAACGCAAAGATTCTTCAGTAAAATATTAATCCATTTTCGAATGCGCGTCGCCGTCATCCTTACGTGAGATATCCAACTCGCTGTGATCGTAGCCAAAAGAACTAGCGCTGAATAGAAAATTGCGAATTTGTATAATTTCTAAAAAAGCTTGACAACCTCGTGAGGTATACCCAAATTTTCGAACATTTTTCCTGGAAATTTTCCTTCCACTTAATTTAAATACCTGAATTTCCGGGATTTTCGGTTGAATGGTTCGCTTTTCGGAAATTCGACAACTTCCGAATTTTCTGGAACTTTTCCCTGGAAATTTCCTAACCATTGGTCCCCGTTTCGAAAATTTCGGAAATTTTTGGTCGAATACAAAGCGCCCTTGGTATAGCCCCATGTAAAGGAATCCAAGAGGGTCTTGGATTCCGGATTCCACATCGTGGATTCCGGATTCCGGTGACTGGATTCCGGATTCCATGCCTATGGATTCCGGGTTCCAGACGTTCCGAGATTCCGGATTCCAAAGGTTTTAACTCTGATGTTCATTCGTACTGCGATAGCAGATTCTGCTATTAAAGTACGAATTGAGTAAAAAAGAAAATACCATTTTCTTTTCAATATATCAAAATGTGTTAATATCCTTAAACTGGAGTTCATACGGCATCAATTAAATTAACTTTTGATAAAATAATTAACTTGTTGGGGTACCTGTTAAGAAGAGGCGTCTCTGAAGTCCACTGAGTAATCCACAGCGTTGAAGCTATCTGACGAACTGTTCTCATCAAAACGATTATATCGTCAACAGAACCAAAAGTAGTAGGAATTGAAGTTTGGTGCTTTGAATGTTCAAATTGAAATCGCCTGCTAAAACTATTTATTTCTTTATTTCAGTGTTTAGCCAATACAGCTACTAGTACATTAAACAATAGCCGAAGCCATTTGTTGCAGCTACTTAAGAATT